GGGGATGACTTCCCCCTTGGGTTTACAGGTTGTTCTCTTTTTTGGCTTCTTCCCCTTAGGGTTCGCCGAAGTCGAAGCCCCCTTCCTCTTCTTCTCCCCTACCGGCTTCGAAGTAGACGATGGGGAGGAATTTCTTCATCACCGGACGGAGGACTCATCATTACCTCCTTCCCAAGACCTACAAAAGAAGAGAAATAAATAAGTTCGAAAAAATGCCCGAACATTGATCAAATTATTAAGTCAAGGAGAGAAACTACCATGGCTACTAGCCTCCCATCGACTAATCGCCAAATCACTCCATGCGCGCTCAGCGTGGGTCGATTGCGATATCAGGCTCCTGACCCAGTCTTCAAGTTGGGGGATCGTACGGGCATCCAGGCAACAACTACGTCTAGTAAAATACTGATAAGAAAGGGTAAAAAAATGAGGACAATAAACAGGAATTAGGGACAGAGTCATACTTACATTTCATATTCCATTTCTCAAAAAATGGCATACTTTCGACCGAGATTAAGTCTGAGGTCTTCACTCTAACAAATCGGCCCATCTAGCTCCGATCTTTGTCCTCATCTATGCTCGAGAAAGGTGCCCTAGTGGCCCGATGTTGAAGCTTTATTAGTCCCTCTCGATAGAGTTGGGGGCTATATAAGCGAATAAGGTGGTCGAGGGTGAAGGGAAGCCCATCGGCTTTGCTTGAGAAGAAACAAAGTAATATCACTATCCTCCAGAAGGAGGGATGAATGTGACCGAGGGTCACCTCTTACTTCTTGCAGAAGTCTATGATGATCGGATCCAAGGGACCCAATGTGAAAGGGTAAGTGTAAAAACTTAAGAACCCTTCCGCATGAGTGGTGATTGCCTTTTCTAGAGTAGGCACCACCACGTGTTTTTTGCCACTTGCAATCTTTTTTAACTTGGGAGAGAAGTTTTTCGGTTATCGAGCATATATACCTCGATACTGGATCGCATCGGCCTGGCACCGAGGAAGTCTTTTCAACCTTGAAATCAAAATCGAGAACACACCCTCCAGAGGAAAACTCTTCAGGGCGAGACTTCGCCGCGATACCTCGCCGACCGACCGTGACGATGAAGCAGTCTCCTTTCGCGGAGCGGTTTTAGATGTTTTGGCCATTTTAAGCAAGAAAGAATAGAGGTTGGGAAGAACAAGCAAAGAAACTCAAAGATCTAGAGATAGGAAGCTCTAAAGAGTGCAAAGAACTATGGAGATTAAGATGAAGGAAAATAAAAGTAAAGTTTGAAAGAATGAAGTAGGTGGCTATTTATTGGTTTCAACGGCGGTTCAACATTGGTAGTGGCCGACCGTTGACTGACGCACATTAAATGCTTAGGAAACTGAACCAACGGGATATTTCGGTCACTTCGGCCGCTTGCGTCACGGTGCTTACGTCATGGTAAATCGAGGGGAAGTTCGAAGACTCAATTAATTTCTTGTCATTACACTCTAAAAAACAAGGGGACTATCTGTATACGATCAAAATCGGGCCTCTCCAACTTTGTATGGCTAATCGAAACCGGGGGTGGCAGACCAAGGCCCTGGCTTGCATTGCATCAGATCATGGCACGAAGATGGATCGCTAACCTCGTGAGTCGATGATTGATCAAGATCGAGACTGGCCGTGATCGAGACCGAAGCAAGATAGGGACCGAGCATGATCGAATAAAGCTTGCTAAACCGAATAATAGAAAGCCGAGATATCCGTGACCGGGCAAAGATCGTGGCGGAAATCTCGACACATATCAATTCAAGATCGGACATATAGCCAATCATGAGATCCTCTTCTGTATTTAGAATTGTATCATAGGTTGAATTCCTCTACTATATAAAGAGGGTTCTAATCATTTTGTAAACATCATCTAGTTGTTCATTATATTGGTCAGCTTTATTTTACTATTAATTTCTAACATTAATTCTTATATTTATCAGTTTGTGCCAAGTGAAATCACATATCTTTAAAATCACTTATAAGTTTAATTGTTATCCAATTTTAAGGGTAAATAAAACTATTATTTCTTGTTGGTTGATTAAACCAAAACAAAAAATTTATAATTATTATTCTCCTACAATAACAATCATATTCGAAATAAGTAAAAGAACTGGGGACGCAAGACAAAAAAAAGGCGAAAAACAACAAAACAACGTTATAGTAATAAATTAAAAAAACAAAAAAAAATGCCTTGATTATAAAACTTTATTACCATGGGAGATTATCTACTATTCAGCTGTCCACTAGAGAATATATTTCAAGTACGACAATTATGTATGAGTACAAGACATAATAATTGAATTGTTGAAATTAAAAAAGTGGACCATCTTTGATTAACGAATAAAAGTTTAATTAATCTTGTATATCCAACTTTTTCCATAGATAGATGCAATATTTTAAGTCAATAAGCATAAAATATTATTATATCCCTAAGTCTTTTTGTATAAATATAAGTGTAAGATTAATTATGTATATATGTTTAAATAAATAGTTCAAGCAAAAGACATTAAGTTTGACTACATTATCTTATACCTTGTATAATGCATCCCCACTGGCTTTGCTTTATCGTTTTCTGTCAAATTTGCTTTTTAATATTAAGGTATATTTATGCGGAAAAAGAAGAACAAAACTTTGCTTTCAATTTGTGTGATGATTACACATGTTATGCGGAAGTTCTCAACGTGTCTGTCTTTTTCTCCGATTCTTCTTATCTGCTTAATCATCCGACGGTTCTAACACTCCGACGCTCTAGATACTATCTCTGTAATGGCGGGAAACTCTTGATTAATAAATTAATACCTTAGCTCATTTACATCCCCGTTTGGATTAGCTTATTTTAAGTATTTTTAAGCCAAAATAGCTTTTAAGTTATTTTGTAGTGTTTGGATAAAGTAAAAAGTATTTTTAAGCATTTATTTTTAAGCTAAAATGACTGAACTTATGGCTTATGCTTAAAAGCCACTTAAAATAAGCTCATTCAAAGGGGCTCTTATTATGACGTATCCAAGATTTAAATTTAATGAGTTCAACTTTTAAATTTTTTGATATTTAACTCATTATATTGTTAAAATTATGGGTTCGAATCTAATATCTGTTAATATTTTATAGATTTTAATATATATAAAAGTTTATGAATTCAAATAAACGGTAGTCCTAAGGCTACATTCGCCTCTGATTATTATTCAAAAAGTTGTTTAGAGATACGAGTCGGACATTGGGGCTGTTTAATTTAAGTATCTGATTTACGCATCATGTAATTAAATAATATTTCCCTTTTTTAAAAATCTCGACAATGACCAATTAATTGTTGTTAATTTGGCTAGGGGTTATTTGCACCATTTAACTAGTGAAGAAGAAGTTGAATTTCCCAATCCCGAAGAATTGAGTAAATTACATTTCCTCTTTGTATTCTTTCTATTTAACCGGAATATATTTTTGTCAGGAAATCTTTAATTTATTTCTTGTCCCATTAATTCAAGCTTGAACCTCTTAAACATAAACAGTATTATCCTTAGTTCTTAATTATTTTTTATATATATGTATATCATATGTATATAATATACATAATTTATACTATATTTTTTGATTAACAAATATAATTAATTTTATATATTTTGACCAAGGAGTAATATTGAGATTTTAGCTAGGTGTGGTTTTTTTGGGTAAAAATAAAGGCGTGGGTAGTGTCGGATAAAGACAACACCGACGGCAGGTAGAGACCTCCTCTTCCACATGGGTCCCTCAGATGATTTCCCGGTTTTTTCTTCCGTTACTTCACATTCACAGACGTTACTTCAAATTCTTATTTTAGACTGGAATTTTGTTTTTACTATATATTCTTTTATAAACATCTTTTAGAGCAGTTTTAATTATTAATCTCATTTTAAATTTTGAAAAAAAATTGTTTGGACACTAGATTCAGCAATTAGATAAGGACATAAATTTAAATGTGAAAAAGAAGCTCATATCGGAAACACACATATTTTCTCTATTAAAATATTAGTTTTAGTATTCAGATGAAATTGATATGAAGAACTAATATAAATGATTTAAGTAATCAAATCCCGATTAGCTTAGGATCAAGACACCTTAAATGATTTTTTTTTATGTAATTCAAAAATACTATTTATTTTTTTATTATAATTTTTCAGTCGATATCTGGTACCCACATAAAGTGCTGAATATGAAATTGCTTTTGTTAGAGAGCGCTTTACCCCCGATCCCTCAATGTGAGACTTTTTATTGTGAACCGTATTTAATCGTAGTGACATTTTAACTATCACAAAAAAGTTAGACATATTAACTCTTGCTTTCAAATCATATAATAATACTCCATCCGTTTACTTGTTCAGTATTCTAAAATAAATTTTTTCACTTTTACTTGTCATTTTTAGAATAATAATAGACGATAATTTCATTTTTCCTATTATACCCACATTATTAATTACTTATTTCAAATTATTTTTTTAAATTCATTAAAAATATGTATCAATTAATATTGATATCATAATAAATTATGTACTTTATTTATTATTTTTTAAAGGATGTGCAAAATCCATAATTAACAAGTAAAAGTGAACGGAGAGAGTAAAAATGAGCATGTAATTCGTGAGAGGACAATTCAACTTCCAACAGTCTCTAATTCGAATTACAATTACACATGTCAATCCTAATAACATTCAGTAATGACCAATAATACAATATTTAATTTCATTAACTATGTATAATTTAAAAAGGAAACATGTACTAATTAAAAATATTAACAACACTTAAGTGGATTGGGGACCAAGAAAATTAAGTAATAGTATATAAGCAAAGGGTTAGTTTTGTCATTTTGCTAATCTCCACTATATCCATTTCCTCACCAGTCAAAAAACGGTCGTCATACGAACTGAACANACGCATACGTGTCGGACTTTAATTGGTCCATTTCAAGTCTTCGGGATTCATAAACATTACTGCATTTCAAGCAAATCAATACAAAACAACGAAAAGCAGAAAAAAAAACACACTGCACACACACACACAGACAAACTCTCTCTCTCTCTCTCTCTTAAAAAAAAACTGTGTTTTCTCATTCTCTTTATTCCCCAAATTTCTCCTCATTTTCCTACTAATTTCCAACAAAATCCCAATTTTCGAATTCTACAATGTGTGATCTTTCTATGTTGTTCAGTTTCTTCGACTGAATTTTTGAATTCAATACACTTATTCGAAGAATTTTCTTTTAAAGGAAAATGCTGGAAACAGTAGACAGTTCAGTGCATGTTAATAACAATGTGTTCCGTACTACTCAGTTACATCAAAACTGCGGGGGCGGCGGAGGAGGAGATAGCAGTGAAGAGGAATTAAGTGTATTACCAAGACATACAAAGGTTATAGTAACAGGAAATAATAGAACTAAGTCAGTATTAGTTGGTCTTCAGGGTGTTGTTAAGAAAGCTGTTGGTCTTGGCGGTTGGCATTGGCTGGTAATTAATTATTCATTTTATTATAAAAGTTTAGATTTTTATTCTTGTTTGTGAAAATATGGTTTGTTTGTGAAATTGATATTTTGGGTTGTGACTTAATTTTATACTGGGTATTCAATGTGTGGTGGTGTTAAAACAATGTGGGATGATACTAAAATTTAAAGTTTTGCTTCCTTATACGGATGATTTGTTTATTAGTGTGTTTATTTTGAGTTTCCAATTCACAAAGTTTGAAGTTTGACTTAATTCTATTTCAAATTCTGCTGCTTTTTTTAATGTAAACTATGGTCTTATCTCTAAGTTTTTTATTGTTTCTGTTCATTTTTAAGGGTATTTATGTACCAATTTATCAGAATTTGAATTTTCCATTTTAAGAGTAAGGCCTCTCATTGTCTCAAAAGAACGGGATTCAATTCTTTGCTCTACTTTATATTGATAGATCTAGTGTTTTAAGGAGTTCTATTTGTTTAGGGAATTAGGGCGTAGTTGCTAAGTTGAGTTTCGGAATCTCTCCTATGAATTTATTCAAAAATTTCTATACAAATATGCTGGAATCTCCAGATTGAATTTCAGGATGAACTTTTTTTTCTTCTTCTTCAAATAATAGAAGTAGGAGAAGATTCTTAGCTCTTTATCTGGAAAAAGAGGAAAAAGAAAAGAAAATGATAATGAGGAAGAGATTCTGGATTCCATAAAAGTGATTATTTGCTGGCCATTTTTGCTCTGAGCAGGTGTTGTGCAGCTGGTGAATTTTACTTCACAGAGATTCTGTTTGCTTTTGGGCTTAGTTAAATTTTGGGGGTTCAACAGATCTGCCAGTATTTAAACAAATAGCCACATCCATTTTCAGCTTGTTGTATAAAAGAATAAACAAGAGAGGTGTTAGCTTCTTTTGTAGTTCACTGTCAACTGGAAGATTCTTATTCTATAGTTTTTCAGATTACCGATATTTTTCTTGTTGATTAACCTCGTGATGATTTTGTTGTTAAATGATGTGTCAGAATTAAGCAGGAAGTATTTCCTCAATGTGGACAATCAGATTTACTTTGATTATTTTTTTTGTCTTTTCCTTTTGCCTAATCTTGTTTTTTGGGTTAAATGTTTAATGTAAAATGTGCTCTTTTCATGTGTGTGTGGGGTTTGTGGGGGGGGNNNGGGATGTATTCTCGTATTGTGTAACCAAATTGTTGTGATTTGTTGCTACTTGGTTTTTTGGAATTCATTTAAATGCTTGGTTCACTGAATAAATTGCAGGTTCTTACAAATGGCATAGAGGTGAAACTACAAAGGAATGCTTTAAGTGTGCTCGAACCTCCTACTGGTAATGAGGATGATGATGACCTGGAATTTGAAAATGTCCACTGGAATGGTTCAGATATGGGTAAGTTACCTAATTTATGATTAACCTCAATATTTTTTTTGGGGGGGTTTGGCTTGCTGTAATAATTTTGGGGAGGTTTAACACATTATAGGGTTTCCTGCCATCTATATGTCTTTTGGGAGAATTTGCAATGTCAAAGTTTTATACATCTGTTACATGGGATTCTTTCTGTTCAGAAACTTTTTTTGCTTTTATCACTGCAGCTGCAAGCTCTTTTTTCTTTGATGTGATTATTGTCATTTGGCCCACTATTATAAAGTAATGTGATTTATTTGCTTTCTATATCTTTAGCATCCGATGATACTCAAAAATCTCATAGACCAAGGCACCGCGTACATAAATCGTCTGGTTCCCACAAGGCCATGAGCCGCTCCCTTTCATGTGACTCGCAATCAAAAGGATCTATTTCTACACCTCGTGGGTCCATGGTATGAAAACATTTGAAGCTCTTTTTATGGACATTACTTATCTTTAACTTATAGTTGTTGACTCTTTTAAATTTCTAAAAAGTACATTATGCAACAGAAGGTTGACCTAAGCAAACTCGAGATGGCTGCACTGTGGAGATATTGGCGACACTTTAACCTTGTAAGGGGATCAATAGTTACCAGTTTTCCTTTTATCATCGTTTCTATTAGTATGTGTGATATTAGCTTCGTTACCAACTTTCTTGTTTGCCCATCTGAATAGAGGGAAGCTATACCTAACCCCTCGAAAGAGCAACTAATTGATGTTGTCCAGAAGCATTTCACATCTCAGGTACTTTCTTAGTTATCTGTATCTTGTTGTTGCTTTGAGATTCTGTCTTAGATTTCTTTCCTGTCCTGCTAATGATTGATCTATTTTAATGTGATGTTAATTGAGGTCGATATTTTCTTAGCACTTCCATAAGACATATTAGGTATAATTCTGTATATAATCCTCCTTTTCATGTTTTGCCATTTTCTATCTGGTGTTCGTGTTATGGGCACTTATTTTAATTAAGTTTTCCTGTCTTATGGAATTGGTCAATTTTGGCACGATGCTATTGTCAATGACAACAACTTTCACCCTTCTTGCATGTATAATTGTGCTTATATGTGTTATATTATACCTCAAATTTTCCGAATTATGGGCTACTGACTACTGTACTTGTGGTTCTTTTTGGGGTGAAGCAATTGGACGAGTTGCAGGTAATTGTGGGATTTGTTCAAGCTGCCAAGAGACTCAAGACAGTCTGCAAATGACTCAAGGGAACGAACCCCTTTTGGGAACGCCCCTAACACTAACAAATAGTGGTACCTTTGTGTCCACTTGCTATTGCGCAGTAATATGTGTAGTATAATATGTATACTCCTGTTTATCCCTTATGTCTTGCTTAGAGTTGTAGTTTATGTAGATAAATGAACTGCTGAACTAACTCTGGAGGTCTCCTTCTGGTTGAATGTACTTCCTCGCGAGTGGGGGAAGTACTAGTACTTAATCACATGTATAGTCTAATGTCTTAAACTGTTAAATCATCATTCAACCAACTGAATCTTGGTTTGGTATTAGTGACCAAGCGCTTATTCACTCCATTTGGTTGGTACTTGGTATCCCTCTTCATTTACAGTTGATACAAATGCTAGTGAATTAGTGTTCTATTGACTTCGTTATGAGCTTCCGACTGTGGTTTTTTGTTTTCAGTCTTTTAAGAAACATAAAATGATATAAAACTTTAAGGGTTCTTTCTTATATAAAAAGCGAAAAATAGTCCCTTATATTTGAGATTAGACGTAATATCATCCTTATTCTTTTACATGAAGCTATAAAAGTCCCCATTTTTTGTTAAATTGGTGCACTTTTGGGTTTCTCTTCAAGCTGTTGTCAGCTTATTAACTGAAACATTTACGGGAAGAGAAACTTAGTGGTCGTTTGGTTGGGAAATAAGTTATTTCATGATTAATTATTTCGGGATTAGTTATCCCACCCTCTTATGGGAATAAAAAACCACTACAATATCGGGATTAGTTATACTTCAATTTTATCCCAACCAAACGTAAGATAAACTCATTTCAAATTTAATGTCGGAGTTAATTATCCCTTATACTTATACTAAACGGGCCTCCTTTTTCTCACCAAAAGCCAGACCTCTTTAGCTTGTCCTTCCAAAGGACAAACAAAGGGGTTTGGAGTTTCCACTATATTGTTTAGAATTATTGAGGTTCTTTACTGGTGTTTTCCTATTTTCTTTGCCATATTATAAGTAGTAGTAGTAGTAGTAGCTTTCAATAAGCAGAAAGCTCAATTGTAGTAAGCGAAACTGATGTTTCGCTATTTATTTTGCCATATTATAAGTAGTATTTTAATATGCAGAAAGCTCGGAAGAGAATGTACAGTTGAATAGCAACTACAAGAAAAATCTGCATTGCTTTATTGACAAGTTCCTTCTTTTCCCCCGACTAATAAATCGCTATCCAGAAACATCATTACTCTAATAATAGAGTGGAACAAGCTGTTTGGTAAGCTCAAAAATATAAAAATAATTGTAGCAAAATCAAATTTGGATTAGGCCTTACGTATATCTTGCCCAAGGGGAGGGGGACAACCTGTTTTGTCTTCAACAACAACAACAACAACAACGACCCAGTATAATCCCACAAGTGGGGTCTGGGGAGGGTAATATGTACGCAGACCTTACCCCTACTCCGAAGGGTAGAGAGGCTGTTTCCAGGAGACCCTCGGCTCAAAAGAAGCAATAGGAGATGATACATTAGTACCATAAAAATGCGTAATAAAACAGCAACAATATATAAGAGATATGAAATATGAAATACAGGATACAACAACGAAAATACGAAATAGATGGCTGGTATAGCACAACTAGAAGGTAAAGCCCTGCATCAATAGACGCCTAATGACATTCCTAGTCTAACTCCTAACTGGATAGTCTCCCTCTATTGTGCTGTAGAAATATTCACACTCTCCCCTAACCTACAACCCTAATGCTCGACCTCCATAAATCCCTATCAAGGGCCATATCTTCAGTAATCCTAAGTCGTGCCATGTCATGTCTGATCACCTCTCCCCAATACTTCTTAGGTCTCCCTCTACCTCTCCGCGTGCCCACTACAGCCAGTCGCTCACACCTCCTCACCGGTGCATCAGTGCTCCTCCTCTGAATGTGCCCGAACCATCTGAGTCTTACTTCCCGCATCTTGTCCTCCATGGGGGCCACACCCACCTTCTCTCGAATATCTTCATTCCTAATCTTATCTATCCTTGTATGCCCGCACATCCACCTCAACATCCTCATCTCTGCTACTTTCATCTTCTGGGTGTGTGAGTTCTTTACCGGCCAACATTCAGTTTCATACAACATGGCAGACCTAACAAGAACAACTTTTCATTTATGTGAGGCTGCTCTCTTGTACTAACTCTTTACAAGCCTAATAAAGAGAACAATTCAATATAAAGAGAAGAAGGAAACTTCTCCTAGATGGTGTAGCACTTACTTTTAGGTATGAAAAATACAAAAATAAGCCAAAAGCTAAAAAATAGGTATTAAAACCTTATTACTTTTATCGTGTAAGCTACTTTTTAAAAGTCAATCCAAACACCATCCTAATTGACGAGGACTTTTGACTTTATGAAAGGCAAAGCAAAATCCAAGAGGACTTTTGGAAGACAAAGCATTAAGGAAAGAGAAGGGACCACAAAGGAATTTTTGACTTTGCATAATCAAGTATTAAAGGTCGTTTGATACACGGGATAAGGTGGGTTAAGGTGTGAGATTAAATTTGTACTCTCTTTGGTTGACAATATTAATTTATCTCAGGATAAATTTATACTGTCAACCAAACATGGTATAAATTTAATCCCAAACTTAATACTAGATATCCCATCTTATCCCACTTTATATTACAGTAATACAAATTTATCTGGTCATATCCTGCCAGACTTAGCAAATCATTAAAAAACATTAAGCTTTATTGACTCATCAAAAAACCTTAATGCTTGACCTCGATTTATAAACATTGTTTTCATCACGAGAATATGTTGAGTTATTTGACAATGTTGAACCGTCATTCATAACTTTGTTTGATCTCTTTGAACCTAGTTCTTGGGATCTTCAGTCTGCTAGGTAGAGTTACCGCCACGATGACTTGTCCTAGACCTTAACCCCATTCCCTTCGATGATCTTTCAACTGCCTCTCTAGATAGGCTTTTTGTAAGTGGATCCGACTCGTTATCTCTTGACTTTACGTAGTCAATCGTGATAACGCCTTTAGAGAGTAGTTGTCTAACGGTATTGTGTCTCCGTCGTATATGACGAGATTTTTCATTATGCATAGCGCTCCCCTGCCTATTGCCGCTTGACTATCACAATGTATACAAATAGGTTCCAAAGATTTGGGCAAATGGAGTATCTTCCAAAAAATTCCGAAGCCATTCAACTTCTTCACCGGCCTTATCTAAAGCTATGAATTCAGATTCCATTGTAGAACGGGCGATGTATATTTGTTTGGATGATTTTCAAGACACTGCTCCACCCCCAATTGTGAAAACATATCCACTTGTGGATTTAACTTCAGATGATCCGGTAATCCAATTTGCATCACTACATCCCTCAATCACGGAGGGATATTTGTTATAATGCAAAGCATAATTTTGAGTATGTTTCAGATACCCAAAAACTCGTTTCATTGCCATCCAATATATTTGATTGGGATTATTTGTAAACTGACTCAGTTTGCTAGTAGCACATGTTATATCTTGTCGCGTACAATTCATGATATACATCAAACTTCCTAATACTCTTACATAGTCAAGTTGCGAGTCACTTTCACCTTCATTCTTTTGAAGTACATAACTCACGTCAATTGGAGTGTTGGCAATCTTGAAATCTAAATACTTAGAACTTATCAAGTACTTTTTCAATGTAGTGAGACTGTGATAATGCTAGACCTTGTGGAATCTTATGAATTCTGATTCCTAAGATCACGTCAGCAACTCCTAAGTCTTTCATGTCGAATTTGCTAGCCAACATGCTTTTAGTAGCATTTATATCTGCCATATTTTTGCTTATTATCAACATGTCATCAACATATAAACAAACAATGACTTCATGACCTGGAGTATTTTTAATGTAAATACATTTGTCACACTCGTTGATTTTAAACCCAATTCCCAATATTGTTTGATCAAATTTGGCATGCCATTGTTTCGGTGCTTGTTTAAGTCCATAAAAGGACTTAACTAGTTTGCACACTTTCGTTTCTTTACCCGGAACCACAAAACCCTCAGGTTGTTCCATGCAAATCTCTTCCTTCAATTCTCTATTTTAAAAAGCTGTTTTAACATCCATTTGATGGACTTCAAGACCATACATGACCACCAGTGCCCCTAATACCCTAATAGATGTTATTCTCGTTACTAGCGAGTACGTGTCAAAGTAATCAAAGCCTTCCTTTTGTCTATAATCTTTGACAACAAGTATTGCCTTATATTTGTCAATATTGCCATCAGCTTTCATTTTTCGTTTAAAGATTCATTTCGAACCTAAAGGCTTATTTCGAGGAGGAAGATCAACCAGTTCCCATGTATGGTTATCCAAAATTGATTGAATCTCACTATTCACTACCTCTTTCCAAAATGCTGAATCAGAGGATGACATAGCTGCTTTAAAAGTTTGAGGCTCATTTTCAAGCAAGAATGTCACAAAATCTGGTCCAAAAGAAGTATATGTTCTTTGACGTTTGCTACGCCTTGGATCTTCTACACTTGGGAGTATTTTCCTTTGGTTCTTCCCGAGGTCGTTTAGGTCTTTCACTTAACGACTCTTATTCAGTTTTATACGGAGAGATGCTTTTAAAGAATTTAGCATTATCTAATTCCATTACCGTATTAACATCAATTTCGGGATTATCAGATTTATGAACCAAAAACGACATGCTTTACTGTTTATACCATATCCAATGAAAACACAATTCATAATTTTTGGTCCGATATTTACCCTTTTGGATAAAGGTATTTGTACCTTTGCTAAACACCTCCACACTTTAAAATATTTTAAGTTGGGTTTTCTTCCTTTCCATTTTTCATATGGAATAGATTGGGTTTTGCTATGGGGTACTCTGTTGAGTATCCGGCTGTAAGGATAGCTTCCCCCTACAAACTCTGCAGTAATTCGGAACTTATTAATAAAGAATTCATCATTTCCTTCAATGTCCGATTTTTTCTTGCCGCAATTCCATTGGATTGAGGTGTGTAGGGTGCAGTAGTTTGATGGATAATTCCATATTCCGAATATATTTTTGCAAACGGAGATTTATATTCTCCACCCCGATCACTTCTAATCATTTGATCTTTTTATTCAATTGATTCTCTACTTCATTCTTGTTAGGGTTGTTCACGGTTTGACAGAAAATCGATCCAAACCAAAAACCGAACTAAACCGATTAAGTAAACTGATATTTTTCTTAATTTGGATTGGTTTTGGTTTTAAATTTTAAAAACCGATAATATTTGTTTTGATTTTGGTTCTATTATAAAAAACCGAACAAATCGAACCGAACCGATTAATTATGTAAAAAAT